CGGTGCAGGCGCGGCTCACGGTAGAGGGATGGCACACGCGGGTGCACGGTAGTAGGCGCGGCGCACGAAGGAGCAGACCTGAAGGCGCGTGAAGGCGCGTGTGAGAGTGGCGATGGAAGAAGAGACGCGGCGATCACAAAGGAGGTGCATGAGAGCGCGTGAAGGAGTTTCTGATGACGTGCGTGGTGCCGTTGGAATCGTAAGGAGATTCCGAGCTGTTTGGTGTAGTTCCACTGTGTACGGGACTAAACACCAAAATTGAAAAATGCCAGAATTGTATATCTGGGCTCTGATACCATGAAACAATAGTTTGATAGAGAGAGAGAGAGGATAGAGAGAGAGAGAGAGACACTGAATTGTCTGTAATTTTGTATGTTAGTTTACAAAGAGAATGCACTCTCTTTATAGAGAGGATATAATGCATTGGATGCCCACCGAAAGCATAAAGCATTTACAATATAAAAGATAAAGCTATGCTAAAGCTATAATGCTAAGCTATGATGCTATAACAGCTATTAACAATTATACACTAACACTCATATTGATAATTTTTTTTCGTTTCTCCGATCTGTATATAGTTCTCCCACTAACATAAGCATGGGAAAAGAGAATATAAAGGTGATATACCGATGAGTTGGAATCGTCAGAATCGTAGACAGCGCACTGAAGGAAGTCCTGATTGAGGCGAGTGAAGAAGTGGTGAGTCTGGATTTGGCGAGTCATGTCGTGGCTGTACATAGCGAAGGTGCACACATGCTGGCTCATCTGCTTGACTGGCTTCAGAGACTGCATCAACTGGGCTCCTTTGTCCACCACCTGCTGTCACATTGTCATCGCCTTCCCCGGCAGCACTGACCCGTCTCCAGGCGGCATCGGACCCGGCGATCTGTCACTCGAAGCCATCCAAATATCAAAAATATCAATATCAAAATTCAAAATCCAAAAACCATCTGTTTTCTTTCAGATCTTTGCTTTAGAGAGTGAATGAATCCACCACCCGAGTGATGATGATTAGTCGGTGTGAAGAGTGAGGAGAGAGATATGCAAATGGGTGCGTGGTGGGACGTGGAGAGTGGATAGTGACCCACGTACGCATGATTTGATTTAATAGCAAGATAAATTTTGAATTTTTTTATTTTTATCAATTTAAATCATAATATTTTCATTTATTTTTAATCTGAATCCTATTTTTATTTTTATTAAGTAAAAGTTATGAGGTGTACTAAAAATATATAAAAATTGTCTAAAATACCTTTTTACATTGAGTTTAATGCTACAATATCATTTTTTTCAATTAAGTTAACTTAACGAAAATAAATAGATTATTTATATTGAGCATAAATAAAAAAAAATATTAGAATTTGAATTGATAAAATTACAAAATTTAAGATTTATTTTATTATAAGGTTTAAACTCTTTTTTGGAGAATTACATGCAAGTGGAAGGAAAAAAAAAAAATTACCTGTGCAAGTGCAAGTGACACTTGCACCCCCATAACTTTTTATTTGCATGCCACCACAGACACACTTGGACCCCATGTATTTGTAAATTTTTTTCTATCTCCCACATGCATGTAATTTTTCCTCTTTTTTTTTTTTCTTTTTTTCTCCTTCAATTATAGAAGAGCTCCCCTATGGTTGAGCCTCAACTGAGCTCTAGGTAGTCTCTTGTTGCTTTACATGAGAAGCTAATGTAATGGGTGGTTAAGCATATAGAAATGGTTTCTTACTACGATGGAGTGAAGGATGAAAGAAAACCCAAAAGGGGAAATGGAAAAAAAACCCACGAGTTCAATAGTTATGGAGGGGGTTGAGGGCTATCCTCTCTTTCTTTCTCTTGTATTTGAGCAGGAAAATCACATGAGAGGGAGATTAGCCAAGGAAGAGAGGGAATTGAAGCCTAAAATGGGAGAAGTTATTTGGTGGTCTAGGGTACGGTCACAGAGTATTGTAATTAGTAAAGAGGGTAAAATTTATAATTTTATATTGGGTGATTAGGGAACAATTAAGGATATGGTGATTTGTGATTGGTTAGGGATATGGCCACGTGATGGCAGTGGCGGAACCATGTACCCCTTTAATTTTTTATGATTTATTATTAATTCTATATTTATGAGTATTTATAACATATATAATGGAATGATATCTTAATTTTATAAAAATTATTTTATTAATTTTCTATTTCATTAGTATTTCATAATGTATAATGAAATTATCTATAATTATTTCACATTTTAAATAATAGTATCAATTTTATTGGGTTGATTTATTAATATAAGAGTTACATGTCACTTATTTTTTTTAATTTTAAAAATTAAATGGTGTGTATACTTTTTTAGTGAGTAATAATACTAGAAAATCGAAAAATTTACCCCTAAATTATTTATCCACACTAACATGGCAGGGGTTAGGTTTTAGTTGATTAATTTCTAAATATCAACTAACATATAACATTCAATATCATTTAAGTATAAATTTAAGCATTGTGTTTTAGGAGACTTAATCATCTTTCACTTTTTATATTTTAGATTATATCAATCAATAAAGAGCATTGATAGAGACCCCCTCCAATCACCACCCCCACAATCCCCACACACACGTGGCGAATGGTGATTGAAGGAGAAGGGAAAAAATAAAAAGTAAAAGAAAAAGTAGCCAATCAAAAAAAAGAGAGGGTCAAAGGAGGTGAGGGGAAAAGGGGTCTTAAATATTTTTGATCAATAAAATAGTTTAAAACGATAGTTTAACCGACTACATATTGAGACCTAGTCAATTCAAAACTTTCAAAAATTGAAAAAATATATATATTTGTTAAATTTATTTAGATTTCTTGTCAAATACTTATTTTGCAATTCTTATATATGAAATTATGTTCAATCAGTAGTGTAATAGAATTAATTTTATATTTTGTTTATATATACATTGTCCCTTATCAATAAAATTCCTAATTTCGCCCTTGCATGGTGTTCCTAAATGACGAAATAATTTTTCCCTAAAATGGGGCAAGGGAAGCCTGTTGACTGATCAAAATTAGGCTAGGTTGAATGGTGGCAAATGGAGAGAACAGAAGGATTGAGGTGGTGACTTATTCACCCCCAAAAAAAATAAAAGAGGTGGTGACTAGAGGTGGAGGAAGTGACCGGAATAGTGGTGTGGTCGGAGATAGAGACTGGTAGGTGTCTAAACAAGTAGTAATTTTTGTCCTTTTTATTCATTTTAGTTTGGGTTAGAATTGTAATAAGAAAATGTTAAAATTGAGGTGTCCAAATATTAAAATAGGGTGCCTTCAGAAACAACAAAGGCTTGTTGACTTAAGTTGAATGAAATTATGAATATTGTGAGATTAACTGATAAAATTATTAATATGGTTTCGTTACCCTGTAAAATAAATTATATTTTATTTATGCACAAATGTAATAGGATTAGTTGGTTAAGATTATATTTATAAAATGGGCAAATTACAAACACCCTCTCGAGGTTTGGTGAAAATACAAATTTTCCCTTGAGGTTTAAGAAATTACATCCCACCCCCTAAGGTTTATATTTCTATAACAAATTGCCCCCCTGAAGTTTTTATTTTCATATAGATTCCCTCCTAATTTTTCCTAATTTGTTATGAAAATTTGACCCTCAGTGGGTAATATATAATTTCTCAAACCTCAGGAGAGAATTTATATTTTTACCAAACCTCGAGAGGAGTGTTTGTAATTTGCCCTTATAAAATTATGTAAACATTATCATTATATAAATAGTTACTCCGATCTCCCTCTCCTCTTCCTTTCCCTCTCTCTGATACTCCTTCAAATTTGATCCTGACCCATTCGGCCATCACCGCTTTACCTTATTTACCCTTGGACATATCATACAGAACTCTTTTCACTCATTAAAGTTTTCAAGAAATACATCAGTTTCTTTGCATATATTTACAATTTTTTTCCCCAAGCAAGAACTCTTCTCGTAAGTTAGTGACTTCATATGCATTCACCAAGAAGTCATGAACAGTGGTGAGTCCAAAGTCCTCCATGCCATCAAGAAACATGTGGTATGTCCATTGATTGCTGTTAACAAAGAGATCTGACTGGAATTTGATTGGATGGACAAAGCTATCAAGCGAAGTCCTACATTGCCCGAGTACAAAGGTAATGTGCAGTATAAGCTTGAGGGCATCATCACCTCAACAGCTAGGTTTTGGGGTTAAGTTCTACCCAACACTATGTAACATGGTAATCATCAGAGAAGTTTGCATGCAGACCAAGGACACACACCCTACCTCCCTAGGTACTCTGGCTCTAATATCACGTTACATGGTCTTGGATAAAACGCAATCCAATAAGTTAGCTCTTTGGGTGGGGTGCCCTCATGCTTATCTACTACTACACTTTTTTTTTTTCTTTTTTTGTGCCTAGGCAATGTGGGAGTTTGCTTCACAAAAGCATCCGATTTACAAGTATTCAATGCCGTGTGAAAATTTTAACACATAATTAGAAGGTCGCTTAGCTCAAAAATAAAAAATTAGACAATTATCAACATAACCAGTTCAATGGCAGCCTTCATTTCTCCAGCTTCAAACCATCCAAAATGTGTTTCTTTACTAGGCACTAGTCATAGTTATTAATACTCTTATAAAAAACAGATTCATGTGTACAAAAATAGATGAGGATAACTTCTTTTAAAAATGCAGACCATTGCCAAAAGTTTGGAACTCAGAAGCCGACATCAAGTACCTTTAGGGCATGTTTGATTGGGTGGATTAGAGTATGGGATTAGGATTATTAATCCGTGGGCCCAATTATCTCATGTTTGTTTTAACATTTTGGTTTAGGATTATTAATCCAATGGATAATTAATCCAACAAATTTGTAGGATTATTAGTAATGGGGTAGGGATGGGATTATTAATCCAATGGATATTAATCCAATTGGATAGTGAATCCTACACTAATTTAATAGGATTATTAATACTTCACTATTAGTCTTTTGAATCAAACATGACCTTATGGCATAAGCCAGAGAGAATTGCAAATTTCCTCGCTTTCTTTTTTTTTTTTTAAGCTGCAGAGATTCCATTCATATCTCTTCTTTAAAACTATGTCCAGCTGACTCCAGACGAGAGACTAAACTTTTTACAGGATTGATTTAATTGGCTCGTTTTCAGGCTCTCCAAGCATCAGATCTAATGTAGCAGCTACCACTGCCCGCAGAACGCATTTAAAAGCCTGTACTGTCATCTCATGAATACAGAGAAACTGCCCATGTGATAACTTGTCTGAAAGCTTAACCTGGTCAAGAGAAAAGGAAATAGCAATGGTCACTCAATATAGAATGCCCAACATGCAGTACATTTTGTAGTTTCAAATTATAGTCTTCATCTTCTCAGCTCATAACTAAAAGAGTTATATAATCCTCCACAGGTAAGGAACCAATCAGTGATGGGGACACATTGTAAGTTAACTGGTTGCAGTGGGAAAAGAATGCTAAAAATGTGAATAGAGAAACCAAGACGAATACTAAAATTTGACCTACAATCAACTATTGCTTCTCTTTTAAATAACATAGGAAACATCATCTTGATTATTGGGAATGTTTGTGTTCAAAAACACTGGAAAGGAATTGCAAGAGTGATTATATGCTTATACATAAACATATGCGACCATGACACTAAGCAAGTGTCATTGTCCAGCACAATAGTACCCTATATGTTGATCATTTTGGCATACGTCAAACAAGACCTGTAGCTGAAAAACAAGAAAGAAAAACCCAAAACTTGGTTGGTGTGCATAATGATTTGAAAATAAAAACTAATAAACATGTTTGGTGATCGGCAGTGGGGGTGCCGAAGTTGTTGGGCAAAGTGTTGCCAATGATCATAAGAAAGTGACCGTTCAGTCACCGGAGCTCATAGGAGGGTTGGTAGTGGTGGCAGGCAATTAAAACATATTATTTTTTTGAAGAAATTAAATCACATGAACAATTATAAATATGTAACTTCATCCTAGCCCTAGTAATTAATTTAGTTTCGCATGCTTCATACTAAAAGCAATAATTAAAACAAACTTACTTGAATGCATTAAATAAACCACGTACAAAATATAATCCATTCTTCTCCTTCTATGCTTAGAGCATCTCCAATCCACTAGGCATATATGCTTATTAGTTAAAATGCCCAGCATAATTTACTTTTTTAAACTACAATGCACTAGGCATATGATTAGGTATTTTAGCTCAACTCACATTCACTAGCTGCATTCAAAGGTTAGACAAATTGTATTTAATCATGATGATCATCTCCCTCCATCTTTATTGCTAATGTGGCATTCTATAAAGTTAGTAGTATATAAATAAATAGCTAAAATAAAGAGCATGATTGGAGTAGAAACATGAAACAGTTAATAGGCAAAGTAAAATTTATACTTTATAGTAACATTTAGATAGGTAAAATGCCTATTAGCATTGGAGATGCTCATAGATATAAAAAAGAAAGTTTCAAAGTTGTAAAAGACTTTAAGAGTTACATATTGAATGTAAATTAGACATATCTATAAACTGTTGGATGCTACCTAATCTCTTCGGATAGAAACCTAATCTCTATTCTTGCTATTACATATAAAATGGAAGTTTGTTGGATGTTGCCTAGTCACTTTGGATAGAACTTCCACGCTTGTTGTGCTCAATGCATTACCACCTGGCTCCTTTTGTTAAAAACATAAAACGCTTCGAATGTTGTGATTGATGGTGCATTACCACCTGAGAAATTATAGAAACGCTACATCCTAAAAGGCTTGAAACCACCTGAGAAAATTGCTGCTAAAAATTGAAATTGTAGAACACTTGAAAAACATGAAATTAAAGAAGCGCCACCGGAGAAATAGAAATTTGTAGAAACTTGTTAGAAACCACCTGAGAAATTAAAACTGTAGAATAAAAAGCTTTACTCAGTGAAATGAGGTACAAAGCTCCACTAACTACGCTAGGCACCATGATATGATTTGTTGCGCCTATTCAATTATAAAAATAAATGCGATAAGACTAAATAAAATATAAATTAACAGTACAAAATACACACTATATTGCGGCAAGACCAATACTTGTCTTAACTCTTAACATGCTACTTAAGACTAAGCGGCAACACATTCTCCTAACGTAATTTATCAATATAATTGAGGCATGACCGCTTGAGACTTTCAAGCAAGCAAAGGTTGCTTCTAGCAAATGTGTACAATAGTGTATTCTGCACGTGGTAGTTGCGTGCAATTACATTTGAATAAAATATTGAAAAACAAAGGCTTCGTTCCATTTCTCTTTTTGTCAATTCAAGAAAGGAGGCAAAGAATAAGCCAAGATGTCAAACACACATCAAGAAATCTAAGTTCAAGAGTTTTTATTTATTTTTTTTATTCCAGTAAAAAACCAAAGACAATAAACATGTTTATCATGCTTTTGAATAAGAGCATTAATCAAGTTGTAGCACATCAAAATTGGATTGAAAGCTTACATTATAAAAAATAAAAAATAAAACTGTGAAATTGTACACAATTGTATTACCTTATAATTTGAGCCCTTTGAACCCATAGGATCCTTGTCTTAGAAGTTTTGGCAAGTTAACGCCAAATTTCTGATTGCAAAAACAATCATTATAAAAATGGTTGACCAATAGGGAGCCCTCTGAACCCATAGGGTCCATGTCTCAGAAGTTTTGGCAAGTCAGCGCCAAATTTCTAATTGCAAAAATGATCATTATAAAAATGGTTGACCAATAAGTAGTGAATCTTCACCAAAACATTGGGGAAGATCTCATGCAATTTTTTTAGTGTTGTACCCAGCCAAATTGCTTGGGGTTGATTGTTATCACAATGGGCTAAAACAATCCACAAATAAGGAGTCACTCTACAGGCTGGCGGATATGTGAACCTTATCTGAAGTGGAGGTGTTGGTACTGTTGGATTATTGTGGTAGTAAAGCACATGAAGGAGTTGATGTGGATCATAATCTGGAAGGTGAGCGTTAATGGAAATTCTTGTCTCCCAACCCGTCATATCAACCGGATGGAAATCCAACCTTACATGACGATCGAAATCTCTATCATTTTTCTTTCTTATCTCATGTATTTTGAATATGAATTTTGCCATGCCGACGATAACAAAGAAAACAGGATGAGTATAATTGAATAAAACAACTTTCTTCATATCTCTCACAGTCATGGGTGGGAAGTATTGAGGAGTATACCTGTAATTCAAGAATAAATTCCACACTGGTGGATACTGGTTTTGTCGAAATCTCGTACCCGCCATTCTTACCATGCTACGAATATCCAGTACATCTTGCCTTACTCCATCTCTTACTACTGCTGCTGGATCATGGGATACATTTACAGGTCCGTCAATCTTGAACGACAATTTAAGACCCACAGAAATAGATGTGATTTGCATGGTAGCCAACAGTTTACCATTATACTTATCCCTTTCATGCATACTCTTCAGATAATTTATAATAGCACCCGACAATTCAATAAAACTTTACTCATTCCAATAACTATTTGACCATGTCGTTTCCAAATCTCATCCTCTGTTCGTGAAAAATCATATATCCATTGATTGAAATCCTTTCAAAAATAAATAAATAAATAATAATAATAATAAATCTATCTATTATTACCATAAATTAATGTACCCAAATATACATATATATAATATATAAAAGTAAATAAATTTAAATATTATAAAAACAATGCACATATAGTGTATTATCATAGTAATTCGCGTGAAAGTCAAGGTAAAACTAGGTGGAAGGAATGTGATATGAATCAAGGCTACAGAGACAATGGAGACAAATTCGAAGGGGAAGGAATGTGATATGAATCGAGGCTCCAGAGACGACGGAGATAAATTCAGAGTTGATGAAAGATACAAGGACTCGACAACCTGGATTAGCCTCCTCTCCTACCTTTTACAGTCTAGCAGCTTCCAACCATATCTACCAAGGACGCCGGAATGCATACGCTGGAAGCCTTCCACCATCATCAATGTTCCACCGTCGTCGCTAGGTTGCTGATGGAGAGGAGGAACAAGCATATAGGTCTAGAGAGAGAGAGAGATTGGGTTGTGAGTTTCTCAAAAAGGCAGGAGACAAGGGGTGAAAGCATATGGGTATGTATTTCAAAATAAAATAAAATAACTTCCGTTACCTACCTCCGTTTCGCCAACAAAAATCCTCTCCTGCCATTTACTGTCCAACTGTTTCCAGCCATATCTACCAGATAGAGACGCGTGGCGACAACAGATCCAACAGCGAAGAGGGAGCCACATCTATGGAGTTCAACAGACTAGCAAAACGACGCCGATTTCTGTCATTTTGGCAAAACGGAGATAAGTAACGAAAATTTTTTATTTTATTTTATTTTGAAATACATACCCAGATGCTTTCACCCCTTTGTCTCATGCCTTTTTCAAAAACTCACAACACAATCCCTCTCTCTCTCTCTCCCTACACTTGTGCCTCCCTTCTCTCCATCAGCAAACCCAGTGGAACAGCAACAACGATGGAAGGCTTCTGGCGTCGGTAGATTTAGCTGGAAGTTGTTGGACAGTAAAAGGCAGGAGAGGAGGCTAATTCGGGTTGCTAGGCCCTTGTATCTTTCATCGACTCCGAATTTATCTCTGTTGTCTCTGTAGCCTTGATTCATATCACATTCCTTCCACTCCGAATTTGTCTCCATCATCTCTGTAGCCTCGATTTATATCACATTCCTTCCACCTAGTTCTACTCCGACTTTTACGAGAATTACTACGGTAATACACTATATTTGCATTGTTTTTATAATATTTAAATTTATTTACTTTTCTATATATTACATAAATATATATGTATATTTGGGTACTTTAATTTATAGTAATAATAGATAGATTTATTATTATTATTATTATTTATTTATTTATTTTTATAGGATTTCAATTAATAGATATATTACGCTTCACGAACAGAGGATGAGATTTGGAAATGACATGGTCAAATAATTATTGAAATGGGTAAAGTTTTTATTGAATTGTCGGGTGCTATTATAAACTATCTGAAGAATATGCATGAAGGGGATAAGTATAACGGTAAACTGTTGACTACCATGCAAATCACATTTATTTCTGTGGGTCTTAAATTGTCGTTCAAGATTGATAGACCTGAAAATGTATCCCATGATCCAACAGTAGTAAGAGATGGAATAAGGCAAGATATATTGGATCTTCGTAGCATGGTAAGAATGGCGGGTACGAGATTTCGACAAAACCAG